GGGGCTACTTGCTGTTCAGTGCCTATGCTACTATGTATGTCAAGAGCCTTTTTTATTTTAGCACAGTCTGGTCAGCTGCAGTTTTAGTGAAAATATCCTGGTTGATACACTGCTAATGCATGAAAGCTGTAGGGTTTTTATCTGTAGAATGAGCCACAGCAATCATATCTGCTGCTGAAGTTACTGATAGTTCAAGCTGCTTTGGAGACTCAGGTTTCCAAAACAAGGCTAGAGAATGGTTGTTCTTCTCTGTGCAGAATAAGCCTCATCAGGGACATAGACCTTGACTCTGGGTGCCAGATGTTGGAAGAGGGAACGGAGAATTCTGGAGCCATGAGCTCCAGCTGTCCTTCAGGAAGGGCCCTGAAACATCCTACACCTGCTCCATCCTGTCAGCACGAGGAGCCGTTTGAGGCAGGCTCCTGACCCCTGCTTACTGTGGTGTTGCAACAGTGGCCAGGCTCGCACAGCTAGGTTATTGAACAAGGATTTGAACCAGCATTCCTGTTACACACTGAAGGAATTTAGAGTTTGGAGCACATTCCGGGAGAGTGTAGATGCCATAGCAGAAAGAACATTTAGAGTAGACCTAAACATTTGGGTCAGAGGCAGGATGGTGGTAGTCAGGGCACTTAGCTTCACACTGGAATACCTGGTTTCTTTCTGGCTGGGCTACATGCCCTGGGAGGTTAGAGATCATGTCTTGTCTGTCAGTGTGTTGTCAGGGCACTAAGCAAAGTATACTGGGTCCATGCGCTGGGTAGATGGGAGGCACTTGGACTAAACAGATAATGCATAAAGGACTTGTTCTTTTTCCAAACCTGCAGTCTACTGTACTTGATCTTGACTCTGCCTCTTCCAGTTCCTGGATCTATAAAATGTTCTGTCTACCCTTCTACCCTGTATTAGTTCTCTATTGCTACTGTAACAAGTTACCACAAACTTAGAGGATTGAAACAACATGCATTTATTTGTTTATTTTTGGTACCAGGGATTGAACTCGGGACCTTGTGCTTTCGAGGCAGGTGCTGGAACCACTGACCTAAATCCCCGGCCCCCAACATGTATTTATTACTTTATAGTTCCTGGGCTCACAGTTTGCAGGGGTCTCTCTGTTAAATTAAGGTGCCATCTGAGCTGTATACCTTCTTGGGGCCTGTGGGGGAGATCCATTTCTTATCCTTTATAGCTTCTACAGGCCACCCGAATTCTTTGGCTAGTGGCTTTCTTTCATCTTCAAAGGTGACAGTGTCTAGGGAGCCAAGGCTTTCACATCGTGTCACTCAGGCTGACTCTTCTGTTACTGTGCACCACTGCGATTATGCTGGACCTGCCTGGAAATCTAGGATAATCCCCATATTTTAAGGTCATCTGATTAGCAAACTTAATTCTTCCTTGTCGTATTAACATAATGCATTCACAGGGATTAGGATGTGGACATTTTCTTCAAACCATTATCACACATCTAAGTATCTTCCTTTTATAAGCTTCTTTCCTCATTTGCCTATAAAACCATACTTATTATTACTATGTTAAAATACAGCTCTGAAGGACATTTCTTTCTCAAACTATGATCTCATTCCTTCCCTTGCTCTTCTCAGTAGGCTGATGTATTCCCTCCTTGGCTCTGTTCTGTCTTATCTGCTGTAACTAATCTCTAAAGTCCTGACACCCTAGTAGCTGAATACTTTGGTCACCTCCATGCTCACCTCTTCTGTAGCCTTTAGTCCTGTGAGTCACCCCCTCTTTGAAATTGTCCTCTTTTTATGGAATTCCTTTTACCTGTCTGTTTCTGAATTTCTTTTTCTCTCTTCTCTTTGTCTGCAGAAGGCCTGGTGTTCGGTCAGTTTGTCTCCCACTGGTGGTCTTGTCCACTCTCACAATTTAAAATTCTACACATTTGTAGCGCAGGCTGACCTTGAACTTGTGGCAGTCTTCCTGCCTCAGCCTCCTGAGTACTGAGGTTAAAGGTGTGAGCTACCACACCAGCTCAACATTGTGAGTGGGCTCTGGGCCCAGATGATATCTAGCTTTGGTTCTCTTGAGTCAAATTATTTGAATCTTACATCTGACCTAATCAGGATGTCTCCCTTAATGAAAGGAAGAAAGAAAGAAAAGAAAGAAAGCCACCAGTTGTAAAGAATATATAAATGTATTTTGCTAGCTTACATTTTACCTGTAACAACACTTTTTTTAACCTTCTAAAACCAGCGAAATTCTACTTTGTTTGGATAAGTGGCGATGAGATGAGATGGCTTAAAGATGGGCACAGTGCTTTGTACAGTCTCCAGGGTATCCCAGAAGTGCTGAATGAGGTACTTCCAAAATACCTGCTCTGGATTTCAGGAGAAGGCCATAGGACACTTGGTCCCAGGTTGGGAACCTTGCATTTCTCCCTGTCTGTGCAAAGACAGAGAGCCATTAGGCCTTGGGAAGGAATCTCCAAACTGCTGTCTGTCCACACTGTGCCTGGTGGCAGCCAGCTGGTCTGCATTTCTAGTATACTGTCCTTTGGGTAGTTCTAAATGAGGGGGAACCCCCCACCCCCAGTTTGTTGTTATCTGCCCTCTTTGTCCATGCAAGGCCTCTTTTTTTTTTGGTACCAGGGATCGAACTCAGGACCTCGTGCTTGTGAGGCAGGTGGCAGAACCACTGAGCTAAGCCCCAGCCCCGAAAGGCCTCTTAATTCAGTGTCTCACCACGGTGATCCAAGCCAGAAATTTCTACCATTTCTGACTTTTGTTTTCATTTCTTTGTGTCCTAGTCTCTGCCACATTCTAAGTATAGACCTGTTATCTTGGATGCCATCAAAGTGGAGAATGTAAGATTATTTGGTACAGGAATAAAATTTAATTTTTTTATTTTTGAGGCAGGAGTCTTGCTGTGTAGTGCAGGCTGGCCTCGAACTCATGGCAATCTTTCTTTCTTAGCCTCCTGAGTGCTAGGATTACAAGCCTGAGCCACCACACCCGAGTATAGGAATAAAATTTTTAAAAATGAGCTTTATTTTTGTCTTACCCATTTCCAGTTGTTTTTATTTTAAAATGTACATAAATCTATTAGTATATATAATTCATGACTATATGTAGGTTGGGGAATATTCTAAATTAATTCACATGTTAACACTATCAAAAATTTGGCAAGAACATGTATAAGCAAGCTACTTGGGACTGGGCCTGGAGGACTGCAAGTTCAAGGCTAGCCTGGGCAAGTTAGATCATGTTTCAAATAGAATAGAGTTGGGGATGTAACTCAGTGGTAGAGCAAGTGCCTACCATGTGTGGGGTTCTGAATTCAATCTTCAGCACCACCAAAAAACCTTCTGCAACAAAAACCATTGGCACATAAGGGTTTCTAGTCTGTTCTAGCCAAAGAACCCTTTAAGTGAAATCTTAACTCATTTGAAAAATATAATTAAAGAGCAAAGCTGTTCTGTTTGGAAAGGAGGTGGGGCCCAGAGGCTTTTCTGTGTACTCCATTTTTTTGTTTGTTTTTGCTACATTGGAGATCAAAGCCAGGGTCTCCTGCATGTTAGGCAAGTGCTGTAGTGTTGGGAGCTACATCCTAAGCCCCTGACATAGGTTTTGAAACCAGCACTTTTGACAGCACATATAATGCAGGTTTCATTGAGAGCTTCCAGTTGTAAAAGTCTTTGTGCATCAGCAGTAGCAGGTTCCTAACTCATCACTTACCTTGTTCCTATTCTCTTGCTGGCGTGACTTGGTTGTGTGAAACCAGAGCACTTTCTGAACAGCTGCTTCCTTTTCTGAACAGGCCTTTGGACACCATAGGTGCTCAGTAGACATTTGTTGAATGAATTGGCAAATGGGCACAGAAACCTGTTGCTAAAATTTATTTTTTATTTTTAAAAAAAGTTTTACCTTATGTTTTGTTTTTTGGTAAAGTTTGTATTTGCAGGAGCAGGCTCTGTTGTGCCTGCGAGTGGCTTAGCAGAATTTTTGTCTCACACTCCCAAGTGATCCTTAGGCTCCGGGGTACTGTTTAGTTGCACGGGGAGTCTTTGGCCCCAGGGCACCTTCTCTGAAGTGGCACTGTAGTGCCACCTCTTCTCAGCACACCTAGGCATTGCTTCTTGTCACCATTGCAAAGTTGCCCTCTTTCAGTCCTCATTTCCTCATTTAATGGGTTTAACCAATCCTGTGTCTCCTAATGTCAGTATAACCAAGTTTTAAGTATGTTGATTAAAAAGAAACTCTTATGTAGTATTACTGAGAAATCCTGTATGTCTTAAACCTAATTACATTAGCTCCAGCATTATGTAAATGCAGTGTTAAGTCAGCCTCCTCACTGCAGCTAGGCCAGTTGTAGTTGCACTCTCCTGGCTGATACCCTAATGGATATGACTAACAGAGGAGTTAACAGGATCTGTGAGAGCTGATCAGTGCGTAATGAGAGAGAAGCTGGCCTGTTTTCCTTGTAATGGCGGAAGTACCCTTCTCCCCTTTGGGTGCCTCTAGATTTTGCACCTGGATGGCCCTGCTGCTGGCACATTGTTCCAGTTGTTACCACCTGGCTCAAGCAAGGGACAGGTGGGCTCCTCTAGGGGTCTCAACGTCTGGCATGGCAATGAGCTTAAGAGGGAGGGCATGTGGCTTTCCTTTAAAAGTGGAGCCGGTTTATTTTTGGTGTATTTGTTTCAATTTGTTCCAGAAGGCCGGGAGCCACACTTAAGGTACAGATTTTGCCTTAAAATTCTAAAATTAGCCTGGTGTAGACTAGACTAATTTACAGGGTACTGTCCATGGCTTTCCAAGACAGGTGTTTTTTGTGTTTGGTTTTGTATCTCTGTGTCTCTCTCTCCTCAGTGTTTTTTTGTTTTTTTGTTTTTGTACCAGGGATTGAACTCAGGACCTTGTGCTTGCAAAGCAGATACAGTGCCACTGAGCTAAATCCACGGCTCTCCCTTGATTTTTACTGTAAGGCTAACCTTCCCTGTGTGTCAAGATGAACTCAAGTTTGATGTCTTCTGGTTTGCCCAGGTTGCAGATGAATACATGTTTTCCCTGGAGGAGAATAAGAAGTCCAAGGGTCGCCGTCAGCCCTTAAGCAAGCTCCCGCGCCATCACCCGCTTGTGTTGCAAGAGTGCATCAGTGACGATGGTAAGTGTTGTCTTCTCTCCACAAGGAAGAAAGTAGCCACCATATAGGGGCTTACAGGACATAACAAGGCCAAGCAGAGGGGTGAGGGTGGGCCTGTGGCTTAGCTGTTCTCCTAGATACTCCATGCAGAGGACAGGATTTCCTTTTATATCTCACTTGCTCATCAGATTTTATTATCAGTTTGAGTATCATGGAATGTACCTGTTATGGGATGATTGCATGCAGGGTTCTTTCCTTTCTTGAGGCACAAGACTGATTTTTCAGGATAGCAGCTTCTGTCAATGATGTCAAGCGCTGTGAAGTTTAGACAACAAATCTAAGCTGTGACAGTGCCCTCCAGATCCTCACAGGGGAGTGGTGCAAGCTGACAGGCAAACAAATCAAAAGAAAGAAGAATGAGTGACACTGAAGAAGAGAAACAGTGTGTGTAGAGGAACTGTCCTTGGCTCATGGTCGCCAGAGTTGAAGGACAAGGCTAGGGACTGACTGCGTTAAGAGGAGTGAGACAGGTGTGAGGTTGGGTCATGGCCAGTGTTAAGTACATACCCAGGGTTGAGGACATTTTCTCACAGGATTTAGGAGCCACTGAAGTATTTTAAGCAGAGCAATGACATGGTCAGATTGACATTAGAAAGATTGCTCCAGTAATGGTACCTAGAGGATTACTGAGAAGACCAGGTGGGCTTTTGTAACTGTCTCTGTGAGATATGGTGTTCTGAATAGAATGGTGGTGGCAGGAATAAGAGAAGTGAATGTTGTAAAGAGAAAGCAAGCTGAATTTGAGCTGAGCATGGTAGTGCACACCTGGAATCCCAGCACCCTGGGATGCTAAAGCAGGTGGATTGCAAATTCAAGCCCAACTTTGGAAACTTAGTGCGACCTTGTCGCAAAATTTAAAAAGACAAAACAAAAAAAACTTTTTAAAAAAATGAGCTAAGCTAGGAATTTAGCTCAATGGTGCTGCCACCTGGCTCACAAGCACAAGGTCCTAAGTTTGATCCCTGGTGCCACCGAAAAGAAAAGCAATAAAATGAACAACAACAAAAAAAGGATGTAATTGAGACCATAATATGACCTTCCTCAGCTTGTGATAAATGCTCAAATGTGGCAAATTGAAGTAGACATTGTGTGCTGTCTGTATGTATTCAGCAGTTAGCAGAACACTGTCACTGTGAGTCTGCCTTACGGCCTGCTTACTTTCAGTACTTCCTTCATATATGGCATCCCTTGAAAGTTAGCTGTAGTCATCAGGTTTCTTCACTTTGATATTCCAGTACTGATCTTCTAAGGAGGACTATCACTCAAGTAAACAGGATCCTTTTATCACACCTCAGATAAGCAGTAGCTCCAGAATATTTTCTAATCTTTATCCCTGATCTGTCTTTCCCTCCTTTTCCCAAGAAGGTATTTTCTAGCTTTTTTCTTTAAACTAATATAAACAGACCTACAGTCACACTTTTCTTCTTTTTTTTTTTAGAGGCAGGATCTCTTATGTAGTTCAGGCTGGTCTTGAACTTAATATGTAGCCCAGGCTGGCTTTGAACTCACATCAATCTTCCTGCCTCAGGGATTACAGGCACGTGCCACTACAGCTGGCTACACATTGTATTTTCTATTTTCTTTTTTCTTTTTTTGGTAATGGGGATCTAACTCTGGACCTTGTGCTTGTGAGGCAGGTGGCGGAACCACTGAGCTAAATCCCTGGCCCCATATTGTATTTTCTTAGGTTTATTTAGACTTTTTTAGTGTAGTGCACCCTTTCCCACTCTTTAAACAGAAGAATATTTTCAATCAAGGCATAGCAGTTGTAGTGAAATGCACATGGCTTAACTGCATGGCCCTGTCAAGTTTTATATATAGGGCCGGGGATTTAGCTCAGTGTTTCCGCCGCCTGCTTCGCAAGCACAAGGACCTGAGTTCGATCCCTGGTATGAAAAAAAAAAAAGAGAGAGAGTTTTATGTACAGAACTTAACACAATGCACATTTTGCGGCATCATCCAGTATTCACATATGGAATGATTTTGTCCTCTTTTGACTTTGTAAGTAGAACACCTGTCAGTGTGGTAAGTTTTTAGTTGTTTGTTTCTGTTTCTTCCATCCTAGCTCAGCAACTCTTGTGTGATCCAGGGTAAGGAAACAAATCCCTGCTTGGGGTTTGGGCACCATGACTCCTGACTGGATCTGCATAGTGGGGCTTTTTGGGATTGATTTTACTCATTTGCATTGGCCTCCTTATGCTACAATGGCTTTCCCTGAGGTCGCACACAATCGCAGCTGCCACATTGTTTTAGATTAAATGTGACTGTGCAGATGGGGTACTAAACAATTTGTGCTCAGCTAAAGTTGGCACAGTGAACAAATACGGGCACCTAGGACAAGTATGTCCACTTTGAGCATTCCTTGGGATGCTTTGCAAAGACCTCAGGGGCTGCTTGGAAAGTGCATTTGTCTGGGAAGAAATGAGATCATTGGAGGGGTTATAGCAGCAGACTGCTGGTGCCTGTGCAGTCCTACATGCAGGACCCTGTGAAACGCCTTGTGGTGGGGTGGCCAAGGTGGGTTTCTTGTCAGGTACCACATGCTTTGGCTTGTTTTGGCCATATCAGACAAGGAAGCATGTGGCAACTGTGGTTTCTAAACACCAACACCCCCCACACAGGAGCATCTGAAGGAGCACTGTGACATCAGTTTATTTTGATATTTGCTTCTGCTTGTATCAAAGTTCCCTCACTCACTCTAGACCTTCAGAGTTACTGTGGGTCGGTCTTGCTCCTTGTGTGTTCTGGAAGTTGGTAGGCTGGTCACCTTTCTCACTTAATATCTTGTTTTGTGAACCAATTTTGTTGTTTTCCACTTTGCAGTTTGTTCTTTTCTTTTCCAGTCCCTAATGAGATCTACTGAATGTTTCCCCCTGGGGTAGTAAGCTAAGAGTTGTGTCCATCACGATAACCAGGCATCTGTGAAGGGCCTGGAAGTTGTTTTGGGCTTTATAGTCCTTACTGGTTTCTGAGGTCATCATTGTTTTTCTTTTTCCCAACTCTAAAAATGTGAAAAAATTCTTAGTGCCCTGAGTGGGATGGATTGGGCTCCCGGTCTACAGTCCACATTGCATTTTATGGCTGGAAATAAGGATTCATTGTGGCCTCCTCTGAGATAGCCTGGAGGGATTGGGGAGACCTGCCCCAAAGAGTCAGATGTCCACCCAAGTTCGATCCCCGGTACCAAAAAAAAAAAAAAGAGTCAGATATCCGGAAGACTTTTCCAGAGAGATCCTCTTAGAAAGTCCTGATCAAAGACCTTGGTTTAAAATTTTTTCCCCCTGGTACCAGCAATCGAACTCAGGACCTTGAGCTTGTGAGGCAGTTGTGGCCCTGCTGAGCTAAATCCCTGGCCTGGTTTAACAACTTTGAAGCTTTGCTAATTTCCTGTTACTTTTCTTTTCTGTTTCCCTTCAGTGCAACTAAAGCAGAACCTCTAAGAGGGAAAGGTCTCAATGTGCTGACACTTTGAAGGCAGAAAATAAGGTTTCTGGCAAGATATGTAGTGCTTCATTGTGCTGTCTTTGGAGAGGGCAGAGGGTTGGATGAGGCAGCTATGAGGGGAGCAGAGCAGGCTGAGTTCCTGTGCAAAAGGAAGAGTAGAGACTATGAGTCATTCTCACAGAGAAAGGAGGAGGTCAGGACTCCCCATGACATGTCAGTATTGAAGGAGTCTGTTCGCAGTCACTTCTACCTGTGGCCTTTATTGCTCCTAGGATTTGGTTTAGACCAGGATTCTCAGCTGAGCGCTTCTGCTCTCAAGGAAGAGCCACATGTGTGCATTCTTGATACTAACTTACATTCTTTTTTTTTTGGTACCGGGGATCGAACTTGGGTCCTTGCGCTTGCGCAGCAGGTGGCGAAACTACTGAGCTAAATCTCCGGCCCCTAACTTACATTCTTGTTGCTTCCTTTAGAGACTTCTGAGCAATTGACCCCTGAGGAGGAGGCTGAGGAGACAGAGGCCTGGGCCAAGCCCCTGAGCCAGCTGTGGCAGAACCGACCTCCAAACTTTGAGGCTGAAAAGGAATTCAATGAGACCATGGCTCAGCAGGCCCCTCACTGTGCAGTCTGTATGATCTTCCAGACATACCATCAGGTAGGCTCGCTTTATCCTGTCTTGTCCCCAGGACCAGCAATCAGAGGATGCTGGGTTTGATTGTGGATACGTAGCTTGTCACTGGTTGTCTTAGGGGAGGGACTTTTTTTCTGGGGTTCTCTGCCTTATTTAAGTATTGGTCGGGCTTCTCCAGGCAGATAACCTTGCAGTATGGATTTTCACTTGAAAATGGTTTGGAGACCATGTGGCTTAGGCTCCTTTTACATGTGTGCTGGCCACGGGCTTGACTGTCTGCCAAGGACTTTTTTTTTTGTTAATCGTCCTAGTCTGGTGGTGTTTCTGCCAGGCAGTGTAGGACTGACCTACAGGAATGTAGTTACTTAAGCAAATTCTTAACCTTCAGATAAAAAACCATATCCTCTCATGTTGTCATCTTCTTTCCTTTCTCATTGTCACCATTCCACTGTGGATGTTGCTGGTGGCCAGACAGAACTAGGGTGGGGTGGAAGTAGAGGGCCGGATTGGGGTGAGGGTTGGGGAAGCACGGTTGCTGAACTGAGCTGTGCCCTTCCATGCTGGGACACTGATGGCTTCACCATCATGTATTCCTCTGTGCTGGTGTAGGAAGCCAGGCAGGCAGGTGCTCAGGCTCTGCTGGGACTTGGAAGTAAGTAAGCTATTACACTCTGGAGGTTAAAGCAGCATGGCTGCTCTGAGCCTGGCAGGGCCCCAGGTTCATACTTGCTGAAGGATGGAACCTCAGACCAGCGCACTTTTTGGATTAGTAACTCACAAATTCTTTCCATTGACAGGAAAACAAAACCTAAGAACTGTTATATGCCATTGTCTATGAAGGAAGTATCTGGCCTGGTTGTTACTCTCAACAGATCTATTAAGAGGGCCTCAGAGTTTCATAAATGGCATAGGCTTGGGGGTTTACATGTTTCTGGGCTCTCTGTCCTTGGAATGGGAATAATGTTGCCATCCAGTGGCAAAGCTACAGATATTTGTAGTCAATATCACTTGCCAAGGGAAGTGTGGGTAAAATGTTCTTCTTTGAGGGGCCTCTGAGCCAGGAATCACAGGTGGATCTCCAGCCAGATGACAGTGCTGCAGCTCTGGTGCCTTGCTGACACAGGGCATCAGAGGCAATCAGTGTGGGCCCATTAGGAGCACCTGCTCTGGGTGCTGTCCCTGAGTGGGGCCACCATGTGGTACAGCACATAGGGGAGCCCACAGTGGCTGCTTCGTTGCTAACATCTCCGCATTTTATTACCATTTGGTTTAGGAAGACTGAAATCCCAGTTGTCTCATACCTCGCTCCCTCTTCTCCGTTGTCCCCCAGGGGCCTTTGTTTGATGCTGCTGTGAGAAATTGAATTTGAGTCATTAGAGGTAACTTCAATTAGGAGCTCTGGCATAATGGCTATGCACCCGGGAGCTGTAGCCATAGTCATATGAATAAGAGACTCAGCTTTCTGCTGATGGAGCAGGTGGAAAGCTAAGAGCACAGGCGCCGGCTCACTGGTATGCACTTTTTCTCTCCCCTTAGGTCGAGTTTGGAGGCCTTAGTCAGAACTGTGGAAATACTTCAGAATTAGCCTTCCAGAAGCAGAGGACCAAGCCATTGATTCCAGAAATGTGTTTCACCTCAACTGGCTGCAGCACGGACATCAACCTGTCTACTCCGTATCTTGAGGAGGATGGTACCAGCATCCTAGTTTCCTGCAAGAAATGCAGTGTCCGGGTTCATGCCAGTGAGTGCTTTCTCTTCGTCTTATTCCAGGAACAGCATCTGCTCACTGAGTGTCCTTGCTACCTGCTGGCCTCTCCTCTCCCCCGATGCAAAGGCCACTTATGTATCCTTGGGGAGTCTGTTGATTGATGAATTTCTGTGTGACTCTGGGCATCTATAGTTGTACCAGTCAGCTCTTCTGCTGTCCTCTTAGTTATAGATAATCCAGAGGGGATTAGTCTCTGCTACTTACTAGGTATTGCACTAGTGAATCTGCATTTCCTATCTTTTTGAGGCCCTGTACTGTATTCTATGACTGAGCCATGGGGACTGTGACCTAGAATTCAGGGGTTTTTGTAAGATTTGGTATCTTTGGGAGGAAAGAATTGCATAGCCACACTCCTCTGAGTTGTGGGTTTAATTTGCTCTTCTTGGTGTCCCTATTAGGTTGCTATGGGGTACCCCCTGCAAAGGCTTCTGAAGACTGGATGTGTTCTCGATGTTCAGCCAATGCCCTAGAGGAAGTGAGTACTCCCACACTCTTACTGTCTTCCCTGTGAGACTTGGAGTATATTCAGGGTCAGGCTGTTTCAGGCTGGACGCAGTGTCCACAACAGTCTACACAGGGCCTGGTACTAGTGATGTAATGTCTTTTTGGTTTGTTTTTTTTTTTTTTTGGTACCAGGGATTGAACTCAGGTCCTTATGCTTGTGCAGCAGGCGATGAAACCACTAAGCTAAATCCCTGGCCCAAGTGATCTAATGTCAGTGAGAGTAGTTTCTGCCCTCTTAGAGCAGGGCAGGAATGGACCTGGGAGCTATGTTTTTGTTCCATTGAGCCAGGGCCTGGTTGATTGTCTGTAATCCCATATAAGAGTTAGCTATGGGGTCAGAGCCTCAGTACTGAGCTCAGATGGTTGATTTTGCAGATATCTCTTGATCATCACTCCCAGAGCCTGGCAGTAACTCACACAGGAAGCAGTCAAAGCCCTGTAAAGCTTCCGGAGCAGCTTTTACGCCTTTGCTTACAATTGTTAGGAACAATAACAGCAAAGGGGATTATGTTAAGGATACGTTATGTACTTTGGCCCCATTGGTCTCCATATCCTATAGGGGAGTCTCAGCTACAGGGGTTGTATTTGAAGCCCTACCTGCCATTATGGTGCTTTCTTAGGTTGAGGTCAGAGCTAGCCACAGGAAGTTGATGGAGAGTAGATTGGGTGTTAATGACTTGTTGGTAACCGCTTTTCTCCTTCTCCATCTTGGACAGGACTGTTGTTTATGCTCCTTACGAGGAGGGGCCCTACAGAGAGCAAATGATGACAGGTGAGTTTTTGGACCCATTTCTTGGAATGCCCCTGCTCAGTTGTGATCAGAGCACAGTGGCAGTAAGGGGCCACATCTCTTTTCCAGAGCACCTAGTGAGGGTTTGGGAAGTGCATTGTGTGAAGTTGGAACAGCATTTCTGAGATTCATTTTAACAGTGGGATGCCGAAGGGAGCCAAGCAGTTCAGGATCTTTCCAGTTCTACTTTCCTTTAGTAACATCCTCCCTTGGGAGGAGCTGAGAATGGACTCAGGTGGGGTATGGAGATTGAGAAGGTGGTGCAAGGCCTTTGTGGGCTGGAAGTGTGCATATTCCCCTTGTCATAGCTGAGGCTGGTGTGTAGAGGTGGCCGTGGGCTCAGGCTAGTGAGCATTTTTCCATGGAGCAAACTCCCTGGCCCAGACCTTCTGTTTGGAGATAATGTGAGTCCTCCAAGAGGACAATGGGACACTGAGGAGCATCAGCCAGGCCACCCACATTAAATCTACAGAAGCTTGTGGGCTTCTCAGCCACTAGGCAGCTCACTTTTACAGTTGCATCTTTCTTTTCTGTTTCCTATTTTACTTATTCCTGAGGCGGAATGTAAGGTGCTGAGGTTTTTCCCCTGGAAGGGTTGGCTCTCTAGAGCTTAGCACACACAGGCATCAGCAACCGGTGGTGAGTGTCCTGCCTCATGTCTGGCATGCTTTTTCCCACAGATGGCTCTTCTGCTGCCATTTCTACTCATCTCAAGGCACTTGCTGCCATTTATCTAAGTCATTGTGCTCCTCCCAGTTGCAGGATAGGACTGGTAACAGTCTTCCTTATCAGCAGTGAGAATGTGTGCTTGAGATTCTCACCATTGCTTTTTTTTTGGGTACTGGGTATCAAACTCTGGTCCTTGCACTTGCGAGGCAGGCGGCAGTCACCATTCCCTTTTAGTCCCTGTCCTATCCTCCAGGGCCACACAGGACATGACAGTCCCATCAGTTCTGCTGACTGCCTCCATGTAGCCCCCAGCATTATCTGTTGTAGGTCTTCATGTGTCCTGACTTACTTTTTATTTTTCAGAGGGCTGGGGATTGAACCCAGGGCCTTGTACATGCTAGGTACATGCTCTAGCACTGAGCTACACCCCTTCTGATATTAAGAGCTTAACGTGGCCTGATATTAAGAACTTTCACAGCTTGATTTTTCTTATACCTTGATGCGTGTAATCTCAAAATGCCCAGAACTTACTTTAATCTTCTATGGGTATCCATTGGGCAGACCTCTCAAAAGAAAGTGGGGCTTGGGTCAGATCCTGAAGTCGGAGTCTGCCTTGGATAAAGGGGGCAGAAAGACGATCATTTCAGCCAGGGGATGAGGTTTGGGCAGCACCTAGGGAACACTGTGATGACTAGCTGACTGGGGTGTGGTGGAATTGTTTTCAGAAAGTGCCTGGGTCCTGTGGTAAGAGAGCCCTGTGTCACATTCTCTGGTTTATTCTCACCTCTGAAACCTACCACATTCAAGTTGTGGCCTGACTTACTTTGCCACAGATTTGAGGGAGTAGACTAAGAAGTATGACCCTATCTTAACCTAGAGCAGTGTGATAGTGTGGTGACATTTCTGGCTTTCACCTTCCTGGGTCCCGGGAACTTGATGGAGGAAGTTAGTGGCCATAGTGCGTGAAGAAGGAAACATTGTTGGCAGGCCTGTACTAGAAAGGAGGCCATAGGGTCTTGGGCCCAGAGGTGACATGAGGCCTTTGCCTTTCGCCAGGTGGGTCCACGTTTCATGTGCTGTGGCAATTCTGGAAGCAAGATTTGTCAACATTGCTGAAAGAAGTCCAGTGGATGTGAGCAAAATCCCCTTGCCCCGCTTCAAACTGGTAAGGAAGAAGAGATGGGCTTGTAGACTATCTAATTATCCTGTTTACGGGTCTCTGGGTGGAGGAGAACAGTGCATTTCTGCTTGGCCCTGGTTTTTGTTCAGGTTTTGGTTCTTACCTTACAGTCAGAGTACTTACTGAGGAGACCCACGATCAGATGTGAGATTAGAATAGACTGCATGCCTTCGTGTTTTATTTAGGGGAGGATTGGCTCTTATTTACTTGTCTCTGTGCATTTGGGAAGTGTATCAAAAAAAAGAGGCTGGACAGTCTTTCCTGGAATCATTCATTGGCTTTCTTCCCCTGTGTGCAGAAATGTGTCTTCTGTAAGAAGCGGAGGAAAAGAAATGCTGGCTGCTGTGTGCAGTGTTCCCATGGTCGGTGCCCAACTGCCTTCCACGTGAGCTGTGCCCAGGCTGCTGGGGTGATGATGCAGCCAGATGACTGGCCTTTTGTTGTCTTCATTACCTGCTTTCGGCACAGGATTCCCAATTTGGAGGTGAGGGAGGGTGCCATTCTGGAATCCTCTTGACAAAGTGAAGGATCCTTTTCTCTGCATGCTGTCCATTTATCATGCCAGCACATATTTCCTCAAGCATTTTGCTTGGTGGAGATGCTAATGAGTAAGTCATTAAGAGGGGACCCCTAACTATCTCTACTTCCTGCTTCAGATTTCATAATCTAGGGGCAACAAAATGCTTCTGGTTGATTCCTGTGGATTATCTTTATTTGGTTGCCTTTCCAGCAGGATAAACTCCTTGAAGTGAGGGCCCATATCTTTTTCTTTTTGGCAGTACTGGGGATTGAACCTGGGGCCTTTGCACTGAGCTACCTCCCAGCCTATTTTTCATTTTGACATAGGGTCTTGGTAAGTTGCCCAGGCTGGGTGAACTTGTGATCTTGCTTCAGCATCCCAGATTGCTGGTATTACAGGTGTGTGCCACCATGCCTGGCTGAGGGCCTATATCTTACTATCCTACATGTTCTTTTTGGTACCAGGGATCGAACTCAGGACCTTGTGCTTGAGAGGCAGGCGCCGGAACCACTGAGCTAAATCCCCGGCCCTCCTACATATTCTTTTTATTTCAACCAGTGTCAGGGACATAGTAGAAGTTTTGTGCATATTGAGAACTACTGGAGTGAACCACTGAGCTAAATCCCCGGCCCTCCTACATATTCTTTTTATTTCAACCAGTGTCAGGGACATAGTAGAAGTTTTGTACATATTGAGAACTACTAGAGTGAACTGGCAGTTTACTATTAACTGATATTCACTAGGGCTTTTTAAAGTTCTCTGAATGGTGAAATGCAGAGAGATGCATGGAATGCTACCTAGTGGAGTTAGGAAGGAGTCTGGGTAGAAGTTGGCATTTGAAGTGGTTCTTGACAATAAGAAGGAATTGTAAGCAGGAAAGCATTCAGGGCTTCAGAAGCAAGGATCAGAGCTTGAAAAAATGAACATACAAGACTGGTTCTGGAATTGTGGGAGGGGATAATAATTGAGAGGAGAGCGGCACTGGATAATGAAGGCCCTTGGACTGCCACACTTCCGAGTTTTTTGAGACCTTTTTCAATATTAAGATTTTGAAGTGTGTATGTGTTCACATGCATGTGTTACCAGGGATTGAACCCAGTCCCCTGAGCCTGCTAGGCAACTACTCTGCCACTGAGCTACATCCCTAGTCCTTCTTAAAATTGTTATTTTGGGACAGGATCTGGCTACGTTGTCCAGGTTGGCCTTCAACTTACATTCCTGCCTCAGCCTTCTAAGCATCAAGAATTATAGGTGTGTATTGCCACATCTGGCTTGAACTATATTTCTTGTTTTTGAGACAAGGTTTCACTATGTAGTTCAGGCTGGGCTTGAACTCACTAGGTAGCTGAGGCTGGCCTTGAACTCGTGGCAATCCTCCTGCTTCACCCTTCTAAGTGCTGGGATTTCACAGGTGTGCCACCATGCCTGGCATTTATTTATTTATTTAGGTGATGGTTGTACTGGGGTACTGGGGATGGAACCCAGGGCCTTTGTACTGAGCTACATACTCACTCCCTTCTATTTTTTGAGATAAGGTCTTGCTAAGGTGCCCAGCTGGATTTGAACCTGAGATCCTCCTGCTTCAGTCTCTCAGAGTGTTGGGATTACAGGTGTGTGCCACCATGTCCAGCTGAACTATATTACAGTGACTCCGGCGGTGGCTCTAGGAGATGATTCAGAAATCAGAATTTGAGGCAAGGAAATCATTTAATTTAGTCTAGGAGAGAGTGAGGTTTGAAATGGGAATACTTAGGTGAATCCCTGAGGTGTGTTGCTCCCTGAGTACCCCAAACTGGGAAGCCCCAGGGAGGCAGTCAGGTTAGGAGACACACTGCGGGGGAGGCTCCACCGTTGAGTTACAGGCTAATTGAAGAGACTTTCCACAGTGTGGTGAGTATAATAATCAAAGAAGAACATGGTAGGTAGCCAGTCCAGAGGAGGGAATTTTACACTCTGCTGTTGAGATCACAGAACGGTCCTCATTAGTTACCTGGATTTTCCTTTTTCATGAAGGTGTTTTATGATCATGAGAGGTGGTCATCAGACGTATGGGTAGGACCTTAGGAAGGTAGAGAAATGGTCATTGTGGAAATGAAGCTCTGGAGGAATAAAAGTCTAAGGTACCATCAAGTCCCAGCTCTGGTAGGAAAATTGGAGCTTAGTAGTGGAACAGGATTGCTGTTTTATGATTATCATCAGTATTAGGCATGCTTTATTTGGTAGCTGTAATCTGCTCATGCTGAGAGGAAACTGGGCTATTGCTGAATATTTCTTTGAGTAATTTACTGTTCAAATGTTTTTTAAGCATCTGCTATGTGCCAAGCAATTTTAGATGCTAGGAATTTACCAGTGGACCAGACAAGAAAGTCCTTGCCCTCATACAGTGTATGTGAGGTGCATATGCTACAGTTAAAAGATACACAGGAAGCTAGTAATAGTGTATCAAAGAGTGAGAACTGGTGATTAAAAGGAGTGGAAGAGTGGCTAGTGAGGAGTGTTGTCAGTGATAGATGTTGGGATGTGAGGAAAACAGGTTGCAAATAACTGAGGAATGCCTTCTCAGGTGGAGGAACAGCAGTGCAAAGGCCCTGGGGTAGGAACTGATGTGGCACATATGCTGAGAGCTGTGAGGTGGCCGGTTTGGCTGGAGTAGAGTGCATGGGCAGGTTGTTGGGAGTTGGGTGGCCAGGAGCCTACCACATGGTGCCATTTGCATCATGGACTAGTTCAGAATGTATAAGCTGAGGGAAGGACACCAGAGATATCAGGGCTTTTATAATGGGGAGTAGGTTTCTGTATATAGGTGAGGACATCTATCAAACTTCAGTTTTTGTGGCCTTGCCCTGAGGGTAGGGCTAGTGTTCTGCTCAATGCACAGCATTGCCTCAGGCACAAGGGCTCTGGTCTTGAGTCTACTCAGATGTTCTGATATGTAGCTAAGCCATGTGCCTTAGGAGGTACTATTTGGTTGGTTTTGGGAAAGTCACAAGGCTACGTACGTTTTAGGAGAAGGACCAGTTCTGGGCTAGGAGCTCTGGGGAGCTAAATTTATGTAGGAGAATAATAATACAACTCTGGCTGGGATGTGGGTATGTGGAAAGAAATGATTCAACTCCTGTCTCCTCTCTCCTTGTTATTTTTCCACTCCTATGCTTGTCTTCTTTTGATGAAAGGGGAACTCATTGATTTTGGTCCATTTGCCAGGCCCTGAGCTCAATGTGTGAGTAACCCAAGCCTCTGTTTCTTTCAGCGTGCCAAGGGGGCCTTGCAGAGTATCACCGCAGGCCAGAAGGTCATTAGCAAGCATAAGAACGGGCGCTTCTACCAGTGTGAAGTAGTCAGGCTCACCACCGAGACCTTCTATGAAGTCAACTTTGATGATGGCTCCTTCAGTGACAATCTGTATCCTGAGGACATAGTGGTAATGTCTGCAAGCAGCTTCTCTGGCAGTTTGGGACTGAGGAGTTTCTAGGTCTATCTGGGAGCATGACTGTGGGCTGCTTGCCTTTATTAATAGGTCCTATGGGTCCTTTAGTCTTCCCCAAACAGAAAGAAGTATTCATACTAGTCCTTCCTTGCAAGGAAAATTGTGTACTACTAGGATGCCCTGCTGCCCCTAGTTCATGGGAATCAGTGTTTTCTGCAGTTCTTTGAACAACACATAAATTATGGTCAGCCCTCAAGGCAGCTAAAGGAGTAGAAAAGCCCAGGCTTTGATATCAAATTGTACTCGTTTCACTGCTTAGAAGCTGTATGATTTTTGGAGAATTACCCAACTCTTTTTTTTTCTGCCATGCCATCTTGTAGATGTAGAGTCTGCTCTTGGCTATTTACAATTGAGGGCTTTGGTACTAAGCATACCACCCCACCCCACCCCACCCCAGTGTGCATATATCATCATCAGCTAAGATAGTAGAGGCACTGCCTGGGACTTAGATTTTTCCTGCTCCTACCCCATCTTTTCATGTGCTTGACTGAGCAGCAAGATAGAAGTCAGCCATTTCTTCCTTTAATAAATTGAATATTTCTCCTGTTTATATCAAAACTTAATTGTTGAAAGGATGTTGATTAGTTCAAGGTAGGCTTATGTCATCTTAAAGATAATAGTATCCATGGTAGTCATACAGCTAGGATTTATTAAGCTCCTACGGTATGCCAGCTATTGTGCTAGTGTTTTATGTCAAATATCCCTTTCCCTTCTTATACCAGCTCTTAGAAGTATATGGGTATTATTTTTAACAAAGAATAGTGATCCCAGGACTCCCTTTTCTAAAAGTTACTTGGGTAACCTGAGGTAGGCAGATTTTGTTTGAGGCCAAGACTTTGTCTCAAAACAACAAAGTTACTGAGGACTCCAAAGAGCTTGTGTTTTTATGGGTTATGTCCATCAATATTTATTCTACTAGAAATTTTAAAAGATTTTTATTTTTTTAAAATTATTTTTATTTTTATTTATTTATTTATTTTTTTGGTACCAGGGATTGAACTCGGGTACTTGTGCAGCAGGCGGCGAAACCACTGAGCTAAATCTCTGGCCCTAAAAGATTAATTTTTAAATGAAAATTAGTTTTTCCAATACAAAAATGAGTGAAAAGCGGCCATTTTCCCCCAGTTTTGCAAGTCTGTATGTCACTTCTTTATATATGTTGTGATACATTGTTTTGGTTGAAGTACAGGAAGAAAATTCAGCCTTACGTAGCTATGTAGTTGGAAAGAGGAACATTTTTGAGAATATCCTTTCAGATAACTAAATTCTTCTCTGATACTTTACTAGGACTCAACTACTGGCAGGATTTTTGTTTTGTTTTGCTTTTTATTTATCTGTAGTACTAGGGACGGAAGCCAGGACCTTGCACATGCTAGACAAGTGCTCTACCATTGAGCTATATATCCTCAACGCTTTTCGAAAAATTTTTATTTTGAGACAAAGCCTCACCAAGTTGCCCAGGCTAGCCCTTAATTTGCCAATCCTCCTGCTTCAGCTTCCTGAGTAGCTAGGATTATAGATGAGTGTGGCTGTGCCCAGCTGGTGACAGTTTTTAAGTTAGGTGCAATGTGGAACCTGATAGTAGTAGGTCAATGAACTCGTCATATTCTTTTAAAATCTGGTCTGTCTTGCACTTAGCTTGGCTCTTTCACACATATCTGATTCTATAATACCATTCACTGATCATTTGGAAGTTATTGATGTACCTGAAGATGGAGATTCTCCAAATGTTGTTAAATTTTTTTTTTTGTACAGGGGATCGAACTCTGGTCCTTGCGCTTGTGCAGCAGGCGGTGAAACCACTGAGCTAAATCCCTGGCCCCAAAGTTGTTAAATTTTATATAAATATCAAAAACTCACATTCATTAGTGTCACTCATCTCAAGGAATTCTAAATTCCGGGAAACTTAAGCTCACAGCAATGATGCCATTGTTTTGAAATTCTGATTTTTCCCTGAAAGCCTGAATTTTATTGGCAATAGATAGATAATATCTGTTGTTTTCCTCGAAGTGACAGACTCACTTCATTCATTTTCCAGAAGATACTTGCCAAATGCCCAAGTCTGTCAGTCTTTTTTTTTTTTTAAACTTGTGTTTTATTTTCCATCAACCTCATTTCCATTTTTTCCCCCCAGATAATCTGGTGTTCCATGAAAAACTGCAGCTAGCAGCTAGTCTCTGGGCGTGGTGGTGCATGCCTGTAATCCCAGTACTGGGGAGGATGGAGGCAGGAGGATGGCTGCAAGTTCAAGGCCAGCCTGAACTACATAGTGAGACCCTGTTTTAAAAAAACAAAACAGAAGCTAGTGCAGCTCACAACACACACAATTATATAAGTGGGTTTCTTTTCCTCCTTCCTTCTTATTTTCTTTCTTGCTTTTGCAGTGCTGGGTATCAAAGACAGGGCCTTGTGCTTGCTAGGCAAGCACTCTACCACTGAGTCACACTCCAGCCCCCACACAGGTGGTTTTCCTCCCAGACAGCCATCATACTACCATACACAGCCTAAAGTGTCCTGTACACAAGCATTCAAGCCTTTCACAAAACAAAATTGTTACTGCTTTATTCAAGGAATATCTTTTTTTTGGTACCAGGGATCAAACTCGGGTCCTTGCGCTTGCGCTTGCGCAGCACGTGGCGAAACCACTGAGCTAAATCCCCGGCCCTTCAAGGAATATTTTTAATATGAAACCAAGTCTTTTCTTTTTCTTAAATTTTGCATGCAGAATGGTGAAGGATGCAATAATGACTGGTAGAACTTGAGGCCACTGACTGAATTATACACATGACCAGTAATTCACAGATTTTGTGCCATCACTGCCAATGCCAATGTGAGAAAGGCCAGTGTCTTAATGTTAGGAAATCAGTCATGACCCTCACATGTTCCTTGCAAGTGTCTCAGAAGCCCCTCAGAGGTTTGTAGACCACTCTTTGAGAAGTGCTGTTCTGGGAGGTAAAATTGAATTGCAGAGAATGTAAGTGATTTATCAAACATCATGTTTGGTTAGTCAAAGTTTCTACCTCAGTTTTTGATTACCTGCTCATAAATGAATTAGCAATATAGTATAGAACTGCTTTTCCTCAGGAAATGAACTGGCAAGACAGGACAGAACTTTTTCTGGTTTTTCACACAGTATGGTGTCTATCAGAGCAGTTTTGGACATCTACAACCTTTCAGACTTGCTGTCCCCATTTCTGTAATGTATACTTTTTAGGCCATCTTCTCCCAGGTCTGTCTTTTCTTTCAACCACCATAACTGTGTACCAAGCCTTAAGCTGGGATACAGTAAACATTCATCTTAAGATAGTCTTTTCTAGAAGGAGTAAAGGTCCTCATGTATTGTGCCAAGATCCCTGATAGGTAATCCTGTCCTTTCTTTTCATATCTTGCTTGTATTTTAAAAACATCTTTCTTAAATTTTAAGTATACTTCTATTGTTTCTTCATGAGAGCGCTCTGGAATATGAAGGACACGAGTAGATGTGAAGATTACTGATTTTGGCACCGGTCTTGTGCTTATTAAGTTTGTTAAATTCATTATAGCTGTTTTTTTTTTTTTTTGGTACCGGGTATTGAACTCAGGTCCTTGTGCTTGCGAGGCAGGCAGCGGCACCACTGAGCTAAATCCCTGGTCCATAGCTGTTCATTTTGTCACCTAGAAGTAGCAGGACAAGAGATACAGGGCAGACTATGACTTAGCAAGCGGGTTACATCTTTCACCCCAGAATAAGTGGCCTACTACAGTGTCAAAGCAGGAGTATCATCTATAGTGGCTCATTTTCCCCTGAGTAGATGTCTGTTACTATTGTGCTCAAGTGGACCTTCCTTTCATTTTACCTTCTTCTTTCTTCAGAGCCAGGACTGTCTCCAGTTGGGTCCTCCTGCTGAAGGGGAAGTGGTCCAAGTGAGATGGACAGATGGCCAAGTCTATGGAGCTAAATTTGTGGCTTCCCACCCCATCCAGATGTACCAGGTATGGGCGGGGGATTTAGCTCAGTGGTTTCGCTGCCTGCTGCGCAAGCGCAAGGACCTGAGTTTGATCCCCGGTACCAAAAAAAACCCCAACAAACTATGGTGAACAGATGTACCAGGTAGCCAAAGGTTCCTATTAGGGGTGTGGGGTACTTGATTTAGTGCTTCCTCTTGAGAGGTGAGTCTTTACTCTCAAGCGTACTGTGGGTCAGTAACAACCTTTTTAGAGCTAGAGGTCTGTTGCCATATCTAGTTCACTAGTGCAGCTTCAGACCTGGCAGTCCTTACGTTAGCTGTAGGAAACTGCCATTCTCATGGTGTGGACCAGGGAAACTCAAAAGTTCCCTAGCTAGAAGGCCTTTGTTTCATTGGCAGGTGGAATTTGAGGATGGCTCACAGCTTGTGGTTAAGAGAGATGATGTATATACGCTGGATGAAGAGCTTCCCAAGAGAGTCAAGTCTAGACTGGTGAGTATGTTTCCTGTGTGCCTTTGGTCCCAGGAACACAAGGGAACATGGCAGGGGTGTCTGTTTTCCCATTCGGATAGTTGGCTATAAAATGATGATTTGGCTTGCCTGTTCTTCTGCAGTCAGTAGCCTCAGATATGCGCTTCAACGAGATTTTCACGGAGAAAGAGGTTAAGCAAGAAAAGAAACGGCAGCGGGTCATCAACTCTAGATACCGGGAAGATTACATTGAACCTGCGCTGTACCGGGCCATCATGGAGTAGGTGCTTCCTGGGTCCAGAAGGTTCCCAGCCTTTGAGGCGAGAGCACTCTGGTGTTCCACAGCACAGCAGACACTCGGAACTCTGAAGTCTCTAAAAGTGAAGTTGTAAAAAGAAAAGAAATGAAATCACCAACCTATCACCTCCTTACCCCACCCTCTTCGCATTCTGCCCTAGTGAAAAAGACAAGCCATTTTGGGACATGTGGCAGCAGCTGCTGATCTCCCAGCTGAGGGGCTGAGCACTGGAATGCTGTGGCTGCACTGACCCAAGTCCAAAAAAGGGGTCAACTGTGCCAGCTGGGCGGGTGGCCCTGTTCCTGGCCTAGGACTTAGTTTCCTACCAATCAATCACCTGCACCCCTTAGGCAGAGGTGCTGGTGCTTTACCCAGTTCTTTTTGTATTTATGTGAGTGTGTGTGTGTTTGTGCGTGTGTGTGCCCGCGCGTGTGCGTGTGCATTTGGTCTGGACCAGCTTCTCCGAGCCCCTGGCCTTTACTTTCTTCCTTGCCTATGCAGGGCAAACAAAATGTGAAATTCTGTCCTCAGCTAAGCTGAGTAAAGGCCCCTGGGTGTTGGCTGGAGGTGGATGCAACATCTGTCTAGGCCTGGAATGGCCCCAAGAGAATGCTGGCAAAGCTGCAGTATTGAGATGCTAAGGGGTTGATGCCACCTCCTTGTCCTCCCTTGAAGGAGAACATAGGGGTAACACGGCTGTGTGCCCGCAACAAACATTCTAGGGACAGAGCTTCTGTGGCACAGTATTAGAGGGTGTGGGTGGGGAATACCCTCAAGGGAGGACTTTAATGATGGAAGCAGGCAGAGCCTGGTGGGTGAATCTGTCAACAAAATTGCAATGGAAGGGCTGGGAGGGTTAGGATGAATTGGGGCCACTGGAGGCCAAGGGCAATTATAGGTATGCCCTTGGTCTGGGGGTGGGAGGGAGCTGATTTGAGGGTGGAGGGTGGGCGAAGGGGGCAATACTGAGGGGGTTAAACAGTTTTTTGCTCCCCATGAATTTGTTTGCCTGGGCCCAGGATTGGAGGGGTCACAACTATACCCTATGTATACAAGAATCAGATTTATAATACTTCCCCATTTTTGTTACGTATGAACGCTATAAACCAAATTATTTTGAAAACTGGTGCATCACCTTGTCCTTAGCAATAAAATGTGTTGAGCAGAGGATTGGTTGTGTCTGCCCCAAGGAGCCGAAGTGGCCCAGGGTCAGGCTGGGGTGTTTCACAGTCATAGGCTCTGGAGCAGGGATGTGTATTTTAAGAATCAGGCAGGATCTGGGAAGCTGTTCCAAAGAGATTGGTCCCTTTCTTGTCAGGTTCTGTAACAGACAAAGTGCGGTGAGCAGTGGAAATTGGGGCTCTTCCTGCTTTATAGATGGCCAAGAGAAGGGAACGGGAAGACCAAACCACTGAATCATCTCAACACTTAGCTCTCATTTCTGCCCTATTTGATACACCTTTACTGAGCTGAGTTACATCTGTGTTACACACACATTGTGGGAATAATTTAAAGGGGTGTGGATTGGGTGATTGAAGACCAAGATGCTTATCCCCCCAGGAAGGCTGCTTTCTGTGTTGCCTGTATAGTTAGCAAGAAACCTGCCTGTTGGGTCCCTGAGGACTAAGCAGTCAAGCACAGGGGAGCCTCAGGATAAAGAGGGGCAGTGACTAGGTGTCGGGTGGGCACAGTAGAGGGCTCCAGCTGGCTCTGGGCAGCCAGATGCAGGAGAAGTTCGGTTAGCTCAGCTACTAGATGCTGTGTGTCCCTGTGGCTTGGGAGGTGACTGCTACTGGATACTGGGGGGGGCCGGGGGGTGTTGCGGGCTGGAGGATGCTGCTCTAAACTACTTCCTGGGGCCAAGGGAAGACGGTTGACCATTTTGCATTTCACTTAGGGAATCTAGGGGAGGCTGGGCCATGGTAGCAGGCAAACTTGGGTCCCAGGCTTCCCCACTGGTCTCACTGACCCCAGTGCTCTAGCTTTGCTGAAGAACCTACAGGGCTAGCTGTCTGATCTAATTCCAGCGGAGACCTTATTTTAAAAGCCAGCCATTTTTCTAAAAACGCTGCAGTTTTAATTTGTGCCAGCATAAAAACCTTAAGGAGACCCAAGCTCAAAGAATCTATGGGGCTTTCCCAGGCTCATAAAACGCTGTCGGACTGGGCGCAGGATCTTAAGTGTGCTGTAAGCATGCTGCTCTACTTCTGAGTCAACTGCCCAGCCCGGGCCTGGGAGTCCTCCCTAGGCAGTGCAGTCAGGTCCAGGCCTCAAGAGAACTTACCCAAGCAAAGGCTACGTCGCCTCCGTCCCCCTCTTGCTTTAGGCAGGTTCCCAAAAAAACCTTTTCGCCAAGGCAAACAGCCGTTCTCTAGTTAGGGTGGGGTCTTTGGGTTGGTATCCAATGGTGACAGTTTAAAAGTTCTACCCCCATTCTTGGAAATCCAGCCTTAAATTGTGTCCCAGGTGGATAATGCCAGGACTCAGCTGGTGGAATGAGGGGGGGCAGGCTGAGAGAGCAGCGACCTCCGGAGCGGCAGAAAGTATATAGTTGGGCAGGGTGGCCGTATGCTCTGACGTAAAAGTAAAGTTCTCAATTTGGTAGCTGACGGCAGCAGCTGGGAGCCCCCCTGGACCCCCGTGCCCCCTTACCGCGCGGGATTGCGCAGACCCGTTAAAATCCGGAGCCTTGGGCCTGAGGGAGTGGTCTGGTCGCGCTCACGACCTGGAGAACTGGATGAGGCGTCCGTCGGCATCCAGCGACCGTGACCAACCTACACTGCGCCCCACGTCTCCACAAGGAAACAGGCTCTCGAGGGGCGAGGTCTTCGGAGAAGCCCGAGAGCCCTCTAGGCCTTGGAGATGGAGGAGGATCCCTAGGCCGAGGGGACAGGAGTTGGGCGACTGCACCTCACGCCGCAAATTTTCCACAGCCGGATACGCGCGCTGGTAGGGAGGGCGGGCTGTAAACTAGGGGCCCCCGCGCCTATTGGGCCGTTCGGGTCTGTGCCCGCCCGACCGCCCGTCCCGCACTGGTAATCCCAGCAGCCCGCCCGGCCCCTGCACGCCTATTGGCCGCAGCTGCCGGACCCCTGGCGAGGGCTCCGCGACGGAGAGCCGGATTGGTGGTCGCGCGCTCCGCCCGCCGCTGCGTCCCCACTATGGCGGCGTCCATACAACCCACCGCTTCGTGGGCGCCCGCCGGGGTTCCCCGCGGCTGTCGCCGCCGCCGCCTGCGCCGCAGCCTGCGCCGCCGCCTGCGCCGCCGCTTTCGCCTTCCGGCCCCGCGTGGGCCCGGGCGCCGCCTCCCCCCGGCCTCCTTCTAGGCTGCGGTAAGAACCTGTCACGCGTGCTTCCAGGCGCGAGGATTGACTGTCGCGGATAACGGGTGTCGCCTCGCCCCTTCTCCCGGCCGCGGTGTGGGGTCGGACGGGCGTTGAGCCCGCGCTCTTGTGCTGGGAAGGATTGGGCCGCGCGGCACAGGGGTCGCTGGGGCCGGGAGCCCGGCCTTTGGATGACCACGCCGGTTTGGGGGCTGCTAGGCCTGGGGGGAAGGCTGGCCAGGAGCGGGCGAGCGATCTGAGGTCCCCCGCTTGCGGGACCCGCACCACTACGACCCTTAGCGCAGGGGAAAGACGCGGTAATTCGGGCTTGCTGTGGGAAGATGGACAAGCCCAGGGAACCAGCATCGCATGGGTAGCTGTTGTCATTGCCTACAGCCCTGGCGGGGGCCAGTTCTTCAGAGGGATGGGGGTCAATTTGATTGCATAGTACTCTTCATCCTTTCCTTGTGGCGCTTTCTCTCATTGTCTTCTCCATGATCTGGTTTGCAAGAGAAAATATGTTAGGGAAGAGAGCGTGTTTGTTTAGGAGACTCTCTGGTGAATATACTGAATTCCTTTTTACGGCGGCACCCGTTTTCTCAGTCTAATTTTTATTTTTCTCACAGGAAGGAGTGAAACGTTAAAACTGAATCATTGTAATTAACTGCGGGAAGTCAGTTGTTACCTTAGAAAGTAAAGAATATAAACTTTTTTGTGACATAACACTTATATGTGTATGTGGGAGGGTGTGCTGCGGTCAAAACCAGAGCCTCACAAGTATGTGGCAAGCACTCTGCCATTGAGCTACACCCTCAGATCTGTACTTTGAATTTTCTGTCCTATAATGTTGGATTGAAGGTTAAAAGAAACACTAATTAGGTTACTGGAAGTAAAATAGTCTTCATGACAATTTAGGTTGTTTCTACATCAGAATCACCTTAGAATGATGATCATTGAACTGTTTGATGTGCCTTCAAGTCAGCAGCCAGAGAATTGAAAGAAAGCTATTATAAAAGTTGGTGACCAAATGGTAGTTTCAAATAATCTCTTAAAGCACTAATTACTCAAGGATAGTTTGAAATATTAAGTGGCAAGTTTCTCCTTAAATCTAAATGTCTAACTATGGTTTAATAAAACAATGATTATGAAACAAGACATGTATGTATCTAGACTGCCTTGCTCAATCAAGTATGTGTTTTTGTGTTTTGTTTTGTTTTTTTGAGACAGGGTCTTGCTATTAGTTCAGGCTGGCCTTGAACTCAATATGTAGTCCAGGCTTGCCTCGAACTCATAGCAGTCCCCTGCCTCAGCCACCCATGTGCTGAGATTATAGGCATGTGACACCATGCTGGGCTTTTTTTTTTTTTGAGACAGGGTGTCATTAGCCTAGACTGGCCTTGAACTCACAGCGATCCTTCTGCCTCAGCCTCTCAAGTGTTGGGATTACAGGTGTGCACCACCATGCCTGACTCTCTCATGTGTCTATTGAGTACATATTTTGTGCAAGGGGTTGTTGAGGGAAACTCAGTGATATTTAAGGTATCAAACTTGTTCTGATGGGCCTATAATAGAGTTGAGAGCATAAAGCACACACATGAAAATGATAACTGATGATGTGATCTGTAAGTCCGGGACAGTAGGTACTGTGAGAAATCTAGAGAAGGAGAAACTCATGTTTGAGGAAGGCTTCACAGGGAAGGTAAGGCTGGCGTTGAGGCACCAAGAGTGGGCAGGCCTGTCTGGAGGAAGGGAAGTGAGCTGATGGAAAGTGAGGAAAGTGAGGATGGTAAAGGTAGCAGGGGAGAACTTGAAATGGACTTGGGTGGTCCCAGGGGGCTCTTCCTGGAGAAAATGGGAGATGAGGTTGTACAGAAGGTAGGTGGATAACATCAAACTGAGAGGTACCTTTGCCCAGGATGAAGCAAAAGATAAACAGGTAGTAATACTCCTTCTTTCAAGTGAAGACAGAACTAACCATCAGGAAAGAAACAGGAATACTTTATTTGCCAGTGTCACTTTTCTGATTAGCCTCAGTTATTTGGGATAATAGTTCTCAGCCACCACAAATTTGCACCTCAAGTTCCTTTTTACCTTTCTTTTTAATTCCTGTGTTCAGTTTGTCACCAGGTCATGTTGATCCTACCTTCACTCTTCTTTCCATTCCCGCTATCATCGCACTGATTTGGGCCATTGATATCATTTCCGTGAATTAACCCGGAACACGCCCCCTCCCCTGCAAATTTTTTCTTTTCTCCTATTTGCCACGTGTGCTGCCGTCACTTCCAGGTGTGTCACTTTTCCTGCCAAGACTTTCAATAACTTCCTGTTTGTTGAGCTAGGCATAGACCAGCTGGCTTGGGAGTTTGGGCAAATATATTTATCGGGCATGCCTTCAGATTTTATATTTTTCCTGATTGTTGGAACTACTTACTCTTTGTGCTTTGCTGTTTGTCCTCCATACCTTTGTTAATGTTGGCCTTTTCTATGATAAATGACCCCACTGAATTGTGTTGGAACTACTTGCTTTTTGTGCTTTGCTGTTTGTCCTCCATATCTTTACTAATGTTGACCCTATTGAATTGTTCCTACACATGTTTTAGGGCTGTTTATAGGAAACTTTCTTTGTGAATCTTTTCTCCTCATGTAGACTGGTGCTCTCTCCTTTAAACCACTAAAAGCTCTATAGTCTTTTTGCCATAATTGCCTTAATCTCACTTCCATTTACAACATAAGACTGAAGCTTTCTCTAGATGTGAATTATTGTCTTTGTCATTTAGCTCAGTGTTTTGTTTTTTTTTTAGATGAAGCAAAACTCTATTGGTACATTTTAGATATACATAATAACATTCATCATAGGGAATTTGTACCTGTTTTTTGCATTTTTTTGAGACAGGGTCTCACCGTGTAGTCCAGGCTGGCCTTAAACTCACTATGTAGCCCAGGCTGGCCTCGAACTTGTGGTGATCCTCTTTCCTCAGCCTCTTGAGTGCTGGGAGTACAGGCATGCCTCATAATGCCTGACCTAGCTCAGTGTTTTTATGTAATAGATACTTGGCAAATATATTGAAAACAACTTTGAACTAAGATGGATTAAAAAAAAAATCCAAAATCCTTTGTGCAAAGAAAATGTTTGTCATAAAGTATGTAAATAAAGTTATTTATGAGAAATAATCTCTTACCAAGATCTGGTGTATTGGTCTGGATAGCTTGGGTTAAACTATACTGACAAAAATTGTAAGGTTTCAGTGATTTAGCAGGAGTGAAGTTGACTTCTCATTCATGCTACATGCCCCCCATGAGTACACAGGGAACTCTCTTCCTCAGTCACTCAGGGACCAAGGTAGATGGTGGTCAAGTGAATGGCGGCTTTTAAAATTTCTGTCCCAGTGTGGCACATGTCTCTTTCATTTACATTTCATTGATCAAATCATGTCACATGGCCATACCTGTGTGTTTGTGTGTGTGTGTGTGTGTGTGTGTGTGTGTGTGGTGTTGGGGGTTGATCCCAGGGCTTTGCACACGCTGGGCAAGTGGTGCATCTCTGAGTGACATCTCCAGCCCCAGGTTCCTCCAGTCTGAATTTTCTGGTCAGAATGCTGGGATTATGCCATATATAAGGCTGTTGTAAAAATTAAATGAGTTACTTCAGGTAGAGTGCTTTGCATGGTACCAGGCTCAAAGTAAACATTCAGAATGTCAGCAACAGCAAGGTTTGAAGAAATTTAGAGAAAACAGATTTTTTAAAACCCCAGAAATATATCTGAGTTCTCTCAGATTTCCCCCCCCCCTTTCCTTGGACTGCATTCCTGCAATACCTTTTTAAATTTTCATATCTTATTGTATACATAACTGCCTCTCCCACTATACTAAGTACTCTAGTTATTCCACACATTTATTGGACACAAGCTCTATGCTAGATTATGCATTATGGAGGTGTAAGTGATATGTCTCTGGCCTCAGAAAGCCCACAGTCTGGGAAGACCAGAGGGAAGTAAATCAGTAGTTATAATACCTCAGACCTCAACATGCTCATGAGATTGGTGCCAGGGCTCTCCAGGAATACTGAAATCCGAGGAAGCTCTTGTTCTTTTTATAAAATGGTATAGTATTTGCATATAACATTTGAGTTTTCCTTTATCTCTGTTAGCTCTAGATTACTTACACTACCTAATACAGTGTGAATGCTATGTAAATAGTTGTTACATTGTATTGCTTAGAGAATAAAGACAAAGGAAAAAGTACATGCTTAGTACAGAAGTACTTTTAAAAAAATTTTTTTTTATTGTTTGGTACCAGGGATCGAACTCGGGACCTTGCACTTGCATGGCAGCAGATGTACTTTTTTAAAAAAGTACTTTTCATCTATGATTGGTTGAATCTGCTGATGGTGGACCTGCAGATATGGAGGTTCAACTACTTCATAACAAGTGTTGTGACTGAGCATCTTGTCATGTTGGGTATATAAGTAATGGTTTTCTAGAGGAGTTCACACCTAATTTAAGTTTTGAAGGACCAGTAATTACTAGCTGGTTGAATGTGGGTTTAAAGGCTTGTCACACAGGAAACAGTGTGTGCCAGGGCCTAGAGACAGAAGAGTGTGTGGCTACATCAGGAGTGAGGAAGCTTCTGGGTCAAGAGTGCAGAGTATGTTTGGATAGTGTGTGGGGAATGTGCTGTGGAAGGGACTGAGAAGGGCTTTCTGAGTTCTGAAGTTGAAGCTTTATCCTAAAGGTGATTAGGAGCCACTGAAAGATTTGAAGGTAGGAAATGACTTTATCATCTTTGCCTTTTAGGAGGATAACTGTGTGGGGAGGCAGCAGTGTAGTGCATGTCTTGTTTCTCTGGCATAAGAAATTCTGAGGTTTGCAACCACAGTCCATGTCTGCTACATGAGAGTCATATTTACTATTTATTTATTTATATTTTTTGATTCGGGGATTGAGCTCAGGACTTTGCACTTATGAGGCAGGTGCGGCGCCACTGAGCCAAATCCTCTGGGGGCCCTTATT